GCTGCTGCTGACTTGACCAAACACTGACCAAACACATATGTCAAGAGATATCAGTATTGCTGGCCGGGTGAGAAGGGCTTAAGGCCTTTCCTGACGGCAAGTTTAAGTCCGATACTTGTCGACATTGAGCGGCATAGTGTTGGTTGGTTTTGTAACATGGTTTCGTTCGAGGGGGAGAGAGCAGTAAGATAAGGAAATGAAGCATCGAGCATATATTTTGCCTAGGGCCCAATCAATCTTTCACGGGCATTGATGGATGTTCTAACATTTAAAGTGACATAGGTCCAAAGGAATTGTCTGGTTCCTTTCAAAGGAATAAATAACGTTTTGAAAACATGTTTGTTCTTAAAAAAAGACTCAGCAGTAATATCACAGTCATGAGCAAAAACGATATATCAGATGTTGCCTTGTAAGTGGACATTTTATTCAGCTAAAAGTCCTGCATACCTGAAGGAGTGTAGGGATCAGGGAATAACGTGATACCCAGGTGGGGCTATTTTCACACTATTGTCACCGGAAGTACTAAACAACGTAACGTTTCGTGAAGTGTCGTGACCTACTTACGGGCGCCATACTCAAAGCTCAGTCCATGCTCCAATATGTTACCAGATGATTTGTCCTGTGGGAGACCTCAAGAAGTCTAGATCATTGACTTGAAACATCCATCTATATTTACGTTTCCATAATCCACGTTGCATCAGGTTGAAAGCATTTAAAACGTCCAGTACCGACAGAACCGTCGCTACCTGGATACTAGGGGTTCTGTATACGCCAGGTGTGAGAGTGTACAGGAAAAGGTGGGTGATACGCGCACTATCTTCCAGGTTGAACAGACACATGTACATGTGGTGAGAAGAATACAACAAAGGAGTTTCAATCCGCCTCTGACATCGTATTTATAAACAAGTGCTAAAAGTCACTCACAGCATTTACATTAACTGAAATCTTAACAGGAGGATGAAGGCTGATAGATAGCATCCGCTGTATTGAAGACCACCCTAAGATCTGCTTGATAGCTGCACAGCGTAGCAGAGGGTTCCTATGCAGAGAAGCCTTCAATATCTGAAGTGGAAGACCATGTGTACCGAGGAACCTCTATTACGCGGACTATGCTATTTGTTTGTGGATTTTCCAGGTCGATTCCAAAACTTGCTGATATATTACTGCTGGGAACTGTTTTGTCATACAAACACTATTTGACAAACAAATACGAAAAACACTTAGAAACAATAGCGGGGAAAACCGTGATAGATAGCAAAGGGTAAAGTCATTGCGAGTGATTACACACCACCCAAGGATCATAATGGGAGAATCATGGCATGAAATCATGATGAGCAAAAACAAGATAGCCATGAAGTTTTAAACGGCATTTAAAAGTGATACACGTAAAATTTCATGGATGTCAAATTCTTAATTATTATATCCTCAGGTGATCCATAAACGTTCACCTTTCAAGACAGGCATAAGTGGCAATTCTGAACATCAACATAATGTATCGTTCACAAAGCCTTCATTAAAAGTATGAATCATGTTTTTTCCCATCAGATCATAAGATTATATTATCATATGCATGCCTGTGTTATCTAAAGTTAAGAGAACAAATAGCCTTGAATGAGTGAATGAATGAGTGAGCGAGGATAAAAGCAGCAAGTCAGTTTCAGTGTGTCATCTTCGTGAGTCAGCCCAGATGTTCAACCCTCGCATGTTACCAATGGATGCGAACCGAAGATTTACCCCCACCTTCGGCAGATCCTGGTTTACCTAGAGTAGCAAACTTGTGCCTGGAATTTCAGATCACGGGACTAGTAGAACACAGGTGGCGTCAAGCTATTCAAAGACAATTATGCAGCGTATGTTATATTCATTTTAGAATGATAAATATCCTGGACACATCCGCCATCATAACTTCGTTCAAGAAGTGACGTCACGCCGCCATCTCTCCTATCTCTCATAGCATATTTCTTTCGCTCATGAGAATACTTTGGTTGAGCGGCTATATATTATCGTCGATCCCTTCAAATCGGTCTCAGAGAAGACGTATTGATACAGAAATAGTTCCACCATATTTATGAAATAAAACGGAGAAATTATATATTGGATAAGCTTCTAAAATATCAGAGGCCGACAACTATGTACCGAATTGACGTCAATACAGCAAGGGGAGATAACCATACTGAAATCGCCTTAAACATACCACAAACATATTTCGTGACTCGTTATCTTACTCGCGGTTCCAAGTGCTATTTAAAAGTAAGTTCCACAAAGATTACGTTCAAGTGTTTGGTGTTTGTCGTGGGTGTATGTTTATTTCCATGGTAACGACAAGTACAGCGTGAGCTTCAGTTGAGGGGTGTGCACTTGGGTCGGCGTTGGGTGGATGTTGTGACTAAGCTTTGACAGCTATTCCAGGATGTTGTCGTTGACGTGACAGAAGCGACACCTGTTGGCGAACCCCGACACGACAATCGTGAGATATAAGGTCATGGTGTATAGTCATAACCGAGAGCCGGTGTCGACCCGCACCGTCCCCGGTAGAAATCAGCACTTTCACTGATATGTTACATGTTCCCCCTGTCTCACTGATAATCACAATGTGATGCCATGGTTTTAAAACCTTGATTAATTATTTTCCATTTTTCTTTGCAGTATTGCAACACGCTTATATTTGAATAAATATATAATGTCTAAAAACCTACAGTATAAATAGGGATATGTCTTACCCAATTTCTAAAACTACACATTCAAGTTCAGTGAGTGAGTGAGTGAGTGAGTGAGTTTAGTTTTACGCCGCACTCAGCAATATTCCAGCTATATGGCGGCGGTCTGTAAATAATCGAGTCTGGACCAGACAATCCAGTGATCAACAGCATGAGCATCGATCTGCGCAATTGGGAACCGATGCCATGTGTCAACCAAGTCAGCGGGCCTGACCACTCGATCCCGTTAGTCGCCTTTTACGACAAGCATAGTCGCCTTTTATGACATGAATGGGTTGCTGAAGACCTATTTTACCCCGGATCTTCACGGGTCAGTTCAGTGAGGCTGCATATTGTAAATGTTTTACGTTGTTTTTAGAAAATGCGGCATCACACATTCCTAAGCGAACTCCGGTTCTCTTTTTGAATGAGTGAGTTTAGTTTTACGCCGCTTTTAGCAATACTCCAGTAATATCACGCAGGTGGACACCAGAAATGGGCTTCACACATTATACCCATATGGGGAATCGAACCCGGGTCTTCGGCGCGACAAGCGAACGCTTTAACCACTAGAAAGACGCGTTATCCGCCAGGTGAACGAACCACCGTCCCATTTCGAGTGGCGAATCTATGCATATATCTTACAGAAATCATAGAGTAACTATTTCTTGCAAACCAATTGATGGATAAATTGCGTTTACCTCATATTTTAAGAAACCTGAATATATTTAGGGCTTGGCTATGTTTTGACTTCTCTTTTTCAGACTCGAAATAAAAGTGCCTCCTTCCTACTGCCTGAGTATCGTCACGGGGAGACTAGCTTATGAGTTGTACAGGCTAGTAAATCACCGAGAAATTGGATGAGTTGAGAGCGCAAACCCTGCTAATGCTATTCATTTACCACACGTTATTAGATCATGTCCAGACAGTTTTACTGACCGCGGCTAGACTACCGGTCAAGATGTCAACATGGCCAAGCCTCCAGCAATTCAGCGAGTCTGACGTCACGCACGTGCAGCACAAAGCCGTTATGGCGTTGCGAGCCACGAGAAGGTTGTAATGCGTGTTAAATCTGTCTGCGGTCATGGCTGATCCACATGTCTACAAGCTAGGCACTAATTGTGTGTCTCTGCAGCGTCAGGTCCGTGTCTTACTGTGTTAGAGCAGTGCCTGATTCGGAGACATCTCATCCTGTCGATCAAAACCATCCAGCGAAGAGAGAATTGAACTTTTCTAAGACTAGAACAATTCCCATAAAATCACGACTTGATATTAATGTAAATATTTCATCCCGAACATTTCTTCAGTAATCGATATAGATTTTGGTGAAGTGTTAAATGCTGGGGGTTATCGCGTCCAGTGCAATATCGTGTCTAGCCAGCGTGACCTTGAAGAGCAACTTCCGTGACCTTAATGACCCCGCCACGTGACCAGACTTGCAATATACTTCGTTCATGACATTCCAGCGGTATGATAATCGCATCCTTAAGAACCAGACCGCATAAGACTATAAGAAAACATTACGTAACTTAAATATGTGTTTAAACTACAGGAACTTAAAAAAAACAGTCCATAGATCTATTTCGTGTATGGAGTTTACCTAAAGCTGTTTCTTCACAGACAAATATCCGTCTTGTAACACATCAAATGAGTGCTGATAAGAAATAATCAAACATGTAGCATCCTTTCTGGAAGAAGACTTAGAAATTGGGCAAGAACATGCACTGCCACAAGCAGCTGATAACATCGTAAAGTATTTGCAGGGTTTAGTCGGGCTCTACATGAACGTTTGCATTCCTTCTAAAACACGAGCATTCCGTCATGAGCAGCGTTTACACCTGACGTGTACGGGCTTAGCCCAGGTAGACGGTTCAGGTGACACAGTGTTACACTGACAGCAGCGTCGCAACCTCCATCACCCCTCCAATGTACCACACAGGCGACCCGGAGAGACACAGGTCGTCTAAACTATTGGGCTCCGGTGTAAATATGGCTATCTGGTAGAGGGGCGGCCCCTCCTCTCATACGTGTGTGGGTAGGTGGGTGGTCGCCGGTGTACAACATGTAACCACGGTGCAGTGGCAGTCGTTACTGCCGTGTCAACACCGTCGGGGTCTACATACAAGACACGACACACACAAGCGAACCAACGCCGCTTCTTACATAATCCCTACTTACAGATCGCCGGGTTGTAGGAGGATTGTTTAGAAGGAAGTTTTTGAAAAGGCTAAAGTACAAATAAAAGGTCGGTTTAGGATTGTATTTTTCACTTAGGTTAGTTTGTAAATTAATCATGAATCTCACCTGCCTTTTGACGATTCCTTTTCTTTCCCAGCGTTTCCAATGGGAGACAGAGGAGGAACAACAAGCATCCGTGAACAAGGAGAAGAGTCGGCGCCCCCCACCTCATATCCTCACTCAGATAGACAGACGGGCCGAGGGAGGAGTTGTCAGTGGTGATGTGTTGTTTAGGTGCTGTTGACGAAGTTACACGAGGCCGACGTCCACACTGCTACTGTCGGCGGCCATTGCTTTTCCGCCACGTGCTAGTCTCATCACAAGAATCAATTCGTCCAGTGTCTTCGGTTCATGTCATAACCGAAAGTTTTCAATTCGCGCTGTGATTTGATTGGAGGATATCACCACCGCGTAAATGTAGATAGAGAATATTTCTCTAAAGTAAAAGTACAAGCCGTGAGCGGCGCTATTCTCTACATAAGTCTGTTACGGGTGCAGGACACGAGAAAACTTTGTCTTAAGACATGCTGACAATATTTCAGCTGGTCGACGTATTCCTTGTGAAGTAGGTATCCCAGGTTATCAGGAATGCTCAATGGGTGGATACCACCCTGAGTCTTCTCTGCCGTGTACCCTCCAGTATTGAGTGACAGATGCAGAGAGGTTTTGGGATGGCATAACGTAGCCCGATCGGAGAGCGGGACCCGTACTCGGAGATACTCACTCGGCGAGGGAAGTTTACCACTCGCCTGCTTGCCTGCCTGGCTGTCTGTCGCTAGCACGCCCCTCGGTCGACCCGCGTTCGGGGAATCGCAAGGGGAGAGCCCGTCTTCTGTTAACTGCTGGCTACTTCATCCCGTCCACTTGGCCACGAGATGTCTGCTTATTACGGAAACCAATTGTTTCAGGTAGAAAGAGGCAAAACACTTTGAAGTTTGAGATGAAAAAGACACAATTTGTGTTTCTTTCGTCGTCCAAGTTAAGAGCACAGGAAACACTGTGCGGGGTTAACGGCGAGGAACATCAGCAAATACTTCATTCAGTCAGCCTAGGCTCATATACACCGCTACAGACGTCGACATAACGAAATAATCTATGAATCTGAAGAGTAAGTTAGCAAGGATTTATAAAAATGTTCTTGATCTCTGAAACATTTACATTGCCATTAATTAGACTGACTGACTGAGTGAGTATGGATTTACGCCGTTTTTAGCAATATTCCAGCAATATCACGGCGGGGGACACCAGAAATGGGCTTCACATATTGTTCCCATGTGGGGAATCGAACCCCGGCCTTCGGCGTGACGAGCGAACGCTTTAACCACTAGGCTACCCCACCGCCCCGGCCATTAATTAGAAGCTGCAGCAGCAACAGTAGTAGTAATGGAAGTGGTGGTAGTAGTAGTCATCTATATCATCATCATAATAATCACCTCTACTGCTTACAGTAACTTCACTTTTATCATATTATTACGTATTATAATTTGTGGTTGGGTTGAGCATCATTACAGTAGCAGAAGAAGTAGTGGTGGTGGTTGTGTATCATCATCACCGCATAATAACAACCATTACTTCATCTACGAATACAACAACGACTACGACTACAACATTGAAACTAGGAATGACTCTACACACCTGTTGGTTTGGGGACTGAGTGAGTGAGTTTAGTTTTACGCCGCTTTTAGTAATATTCCAGCAATATCACGGCTTGGCACACCAGAAATGGGCTTCGCACATTGTACCCATGTTGGGAATCGAACCCGGGTCTTCGGCGTGACGAGCGAACGCTTTAACCACAAGGCTACCCCACTGCGGTATCATTTATACTCTTGTAGTTTTGAAAACGACATTCCATGTTTTTACTAATCTCTGGCATTATATTTAGAAAAACAAAACATACTCTGGTCTTTACCAATCAGACAGGGATAAAGTTTGGTACTATGAAAACATGACATCTAAATTATATCATGCCATTAACGGACGCCACAGGCGAGATGTGAAGCACCATGACGTCATCTCTTATGGGTGGGGGAGCACATATGTTAGATGGAGATGGCGATGGACCTACAGCCAAACTTCAGTGTCTTCCAAAGCAACGGCACGCTTCACGAGTTCGGTATAGTCGGTACATTGTGAAACACGGCACGCTTGGTAGGTGGGGGACTTTCGATCCTGCATAATAAGGTTATAAGTCATACGTGCAACAAGTATATGTGGCCGCCGCCTTACTGTTGGACGCTGATTGAAGCAGGGTGGGGGTGGATGGGGTTAGGTGGATACAGTTGTCTGTACAGGTAATACTTCAGTATTTGAAGTATGTAGAGGTTACATTCCAGATACTGTAGGTAAACAGCATCACGCCTTAGTTTCCAGAAAAAAGAAGGTAACAAACATCGCCTCAAGTTGATCACCAGAATACTGGAGGTGACAAACATCGCCTCACATTGATTACCAAAAAACCGCAGGTAACAAACATCGCCTTGCCCTGACCATCAGAAGACTGGAGGTGACAAACATCGCCTCACATTGATTACCAGAAAACCGCAGGTAACAAACATCGCCTTGCCTTGACCACCAGAAAACCGCAGGTAACAAACATCGCCTTGCCTTGACCTACAGAAAACTGCAGGAAGCAAACATCACATCGCCTGCAGGTAACATACATCGACTCGCGTTGATTGACAAATCACTGGAGGTAAGAAACGTCGCCTCACCTTGGTCACCAGAAAAACGCAGGAAACAAACATCGCCTCACCTTGATTACCAGAAAAACGCAGGTTACAAACATAGCCTTGCCTTGATCACCAGAAAACCGCAGGTAACAAACATCGCCTTTGCCTTGAACACCAGAAAACCGCAGGTAACAAACATCGCCTCACATTGATTACCAGAAAACCGCAGGTAGCAAACATCACCTCACATTGATTACCAAGAAACCGCAGGTAACAAACATCACCTTGCCTTGATCACCAGAAAACCGCAGGTAACAAACATAGCCTTGCCTTGATCACCAGAAAACCGCAGGTAACAAACATCGCCTTGCCTTGATCACCAGAATACTGGAGGTAACAAACATAGCCTTGCCTTGATCACCAGAATACTGGAGGTAACAAACATAGCCTTGCCTTGATCACCAGAAAAACGCAGGTAACAAACATCGTCTTGCCTTGATCACCAGAATACTGGCGATAACAAACATCGCCTTGCTTTGATCACCAGAATACTGGAAGTAACAAATATTGTCTCGCTTTGATCACCAGAAAACTGCAGGTACGAAACACCGTTTGTCTTTGATTACCAGAACATTGCAGCTGACAAACATCGACTCGCCTTAATAACCTTGACGCTGCGGATAACAAATATCACACCAGACATGAGACATCATTGGCCTTAAAAACACCAGACATGAGACATCATTCGCCTGAATCACACCAGATATGAGACATCATTGGCCTGAATCACACCAGATATGAGACATCATTGGTCTGAATCACACAAAGACACGAAACATGAGACTTCAGATATGTCATGACATATTTCCAAGCATAGTCAAGCAGGCCTTTACAACAAATTACCGACAATAAAATGCACCCATACTGTATTCTAAGGCATTTGACATTTTCACATATATTTGATAAGCTTTTATAGAGTTTTGAATCTCGTATGTACCGTAGTGATTGCGGAGGCAAAAATGAACGGTTGTCCACTTTTACTTGTGATTGATCAAGAAGTAGGTAAAAACATCTGTTTATAATTTTTATACATATGTTGGGACATCTACGCATTGTAGGTAATATGTACGACACGCATTTGGATATTTTAACATTCATGTAATTACAACATTGTTGTAATGAATGCCATCTTATAACTTTGATTTACATGTATACCGATCTGCACAACTCACATGATGATAGTCCTGTTCTGCCAGTGCCAACATCAAAAGTAAGATGTAACAGGTCCTCAATCACGTTATCTATAAGAGCATCGAGCGTTATCATTTTCTGACTTTTTAATCAAGGACAGGTAACTCTAACCTGATTTCCCAAATGTTAGTGGGCGCAAATATGCCTCTTATTGGCCCACGTCGCCCTAAAACTATAAAACCAACAACCCAAATGTTAAAGGCTACGCTTCACACACGATGCCACGTGTGTCTACAGGATATAGGGTGGGATTATAAGGCCCTGTAGACTTGTCGAATGTAGTTCAAAACGTACAGTTCAAAAAGTGAAGTAAATCCTGTACAGGGAGTCAGTAGACGTGCAACTGATGCCTACCCATAAAGATCTAAGTTTGAATTGTTCGTAAGAAACCCATAATTGCGGTGAAAAACGACTGACGGGAGCGGGTGGTCTGGTTCTCTGGTTCTCTGACGTAGTTGATGCATGTCATCGTATCCCAGCTGCGTAGATCGATGCTCAAGATGTCAGTCACTGGTTTGTCTGGTCCAGACTAGATAATTTACAGACCTCCGTCATATAGCTGGAAGACTGCTGAGTGCAACAATCTAAACAACTTCTAGTGGTTTGGTTTTTTCGAACTCTTAAATGTCATGCAAATGATTTTGTTACAAAACAAATCATATCATTATGTCATTGTCAGCTAAATCAAAAGATCAGAAACATGATGCTTTTTTATAGGCCTAATGTACCATACAGGTAAATTTCTCTTATGTGTGTGAGAATTGCGTGAAGCAGCTTGCCTCCCTCACAATGCTGAACCATGTGTTGTGCGCCATGATGTAATCTATTGCATATTGAAACTCAGATATGGAACGAAACACCGTTGTCGACGTTCAGCAACACCGCCGACTACTATTAGTGGTGATTGATCGCTGCCGGTCTCCATCTCGATGCTGCCACGTCTTGCCACAACTTGTAGACTATGAGGGGTGTGGGTCTGGGGGAGGGGGTTGGGGCGACGTGGTGGATTAGGGGTCTTGGAAAGAAGGGGAGGGAGTTTGAGGGATGATTGGGGTGAGGGTCTGAAGGAGTCTTCAGAAAAAGATTGTCTAGAAGAGTGAGTGAGTGGGGGAAGGGGCTTGAAAGGGAGGGGGTTGTGGGTTCGAGAAGAAAATCGAGGAAGGAGGATTAGGGTATATTGGGAACGAGGTGGGTTGAGGGGTTTGGGTGTTTGGGGTCGAGATTTGGGGGGCCTTCTTACTTAGGATGGAGGATGATTGCTACCGACCCGACTTTCATTAATGCTTTTGTGCTTGCCGAACCTTCTCCTTCTAATTCATCTTCAGTTATAGTTGTTACTCTGCTTGTTGGCAACATCGGGATCACGACCCGAAAAACCCACATGCAACAGTCGGGATCTGGGCCGTTTTGTTAGTGGAACCATGGCGGATCCATGTCCCGTAATTCGATATTCATTAAGACTGTGTGCGGCTCTAGGAATCCCATGAGTAGTTCTTGGGCCCAAAAGTCTGGATAGGAGTCCGTGTTTAGATATAATTTTGCCTGTGTGTGGATCCAGAGGCCTGAGAATGGATACCGGGCTGGAGTGTCTGGATCCAGGGTCTTGTGTCTGGATCTTTGTGTGTAGACCAGGACTCCACGTGTGTGGATCCGAGGCCCTTGTTGAGAGAAAAAGGACGCCCATATGTCACCAGGCGTGGATCTACGGATCAAGTGTGTGGATGCATGGCTTCCGTGAATGGATCCAAGGCTCACAGTCAGTACCTCAGTATATATCTAACTCGTATTTCTATTCAATCTGCCGTCTC